GGTTCAACCGTAATTTTACGAAGCTACGAGAATACCTTTTGTGCACAAAAGAAAAAAACGACTTTATTCAACAATTCGTCTCCTCCGCATCAGCCTGTAACGCCATTTTGGAGAGTATCAGCTGGACGTAAACAACGTATGCTGTTCTGTGTTAGCCGCGTCACGCCGGATCTGTTTCCTACATTGTTGTGATTTGATCTAAACGAAAACAGCGTATCCGTGTGACGCAGCTGACACAGAACAGCATACTTTGTTTACAGGGTGATGTGGAGGAGACGAATTGTTGAATAAAGTCGTTATTATTTCTTTTGCTTTATAAGAGCATCACTGTACCTGTATTAAAAACGACATTATTTCAATCTTCTTTGAAATGATAGCAAAGAGACAGGTTCAACAACAGGCCTGTAGATGATGCTCAGAGACTAGGCTTACAACACATGGTGGAGCTGTTGGGCCCACCGGCTCAACCAGGCCCAGAACAGTGAGGAACAGCAGGGCTGCTTTCCGGTTCATTTTTTTATGCCCTTCACTCACTAACTTCCCTTCAGTCTCATTTACTCGGATGTACGTCATTGATTACGTTGCATGAGTGCCCACTTCTGGCGGAACCCTTGCAATGGGCTGAACTGGAACGTCCTAAACCCTTGATCACTTAGAATCAGCTATAGATTTGGTTTATTGTTTACAATTTTCCCCTTGTTTGGTGCAGTATTCTGTATATGTTCTGTATGTGTATAGGTATGTTTGGGCTGATATAAACGTACATTTTTTTTAAAAAAAATATATTATAGAGTTGTTTGGGGTGTGGATAAATTAAATGCAATCTGCGATGACGTCATAATCGTGCTGCATTGTGGTCTATGGAGCGGCCTGAAGTGTGCATTTGAAGCAGACTCACTCCCTCGGTCAAAATTGAGGAGTCGAGGGTCTGTCCATATAAACTTCCCTCGTTCACTTCGCAAAGTGGAACTCACTTCAAAATGGCAGCGGGGATTCCCCCGAGGGGAAGTGCTTAGGGAAGTTCGCCAGTGCGTGTCTAAAAGTGGAGTGGAACGCAGCCCAAGTGTCTGCACTTGTAAAAGAGTTCAAAGTTTAAAGTTCTTTTTGCAAAAAAGAGTTAATTCCAAATTTTAAAAGCATTATTTCAGAAGGATAGAAGTTGTTGCTGTAAACTTTTGTTTTAGATGTTTTGGCACAACTAAAATAGGTTAATGAAACAATAAAACATTCCTAACATTATTATAATTATATATTTTTAAATAATTTGTATTCAGTATCTTGAGTTTTTAAAGTTGAGTTCCAAGGGTGCTGTTTTCTTCCAGTTTGATCTACAAGACAAAAAGAGGTGAACTCATTTTCAGGTGTTTTTCTACTTTATTTGATATGGGTTTCCAGTTCTGAACATGTAAATACCAAATATCATTCTCCATAGTAAAAAACACACTCTAGATATAATACTTGAACAGTTTTGAAATTGGACAAAAATTAAACAACAGATTTTGGTGTCTGACAGCAGTTGATAATGACATTATAATTAAACCCTTAATGCTTTCTGTAGTTTATGATATTTCTACAGTATTTTCACTTCAGGGTGACTTTTAACAACATAAATGTGACGTGCACAAAAATTAACATAGATGACCAAACACAATGTACTAAAGATCTTATAATATGGTTTAAATAAACATTCAAAGAATGCATTAACAATTTAAGATGTACAATGAGTGAGGCAAATAAACAAAGCCAATCGGTTTCTTTTTTTAGTCCGAATGTTTAACACCACCAGATGCCAGAATCTGAAGTTATACAAGCATCCTCCACCTCAGCCTTGCACCCATGCCATCCACGGCACTATCACACAGTGTAAGGATACCCATAATGTGTCTTTAAGAGACAATGTTTTAACAGTGTAACACAGACAAGAATATAACTATGCCATATGTATTGTATTGTTTCCATATTAAAAGCTCATTTCAATCTAGGAATCTCTGTAAAGTGAGCGGTGCAAAAACACACTGTTACAAAAGAAAAGGCACGATAATTCGGCCATTCGGTGCAAGATTAAGGTGAACCAGGAGAAGAAATACATTGACTTCAATCAGAGAACCACTATAATTTGCAAACAATTGCCTGAGAGTTAAAATGATCAAAACAAGACAAGATTTATTTTTTGTAACATGCATTCACATGTCCAGTCAATAGAGCAACCTGACGGGCAATGCGATAGCGTTCAAAAGTACAAAAACGGTCCGAGAAGGAAGGCTGACATTCCTGTAGCATCCAAGAGCAGGAACTCTCTTTTTACAGAGGAGAACAGCAGTATCAAACATTAAGCAAAGTTATTTTAATGACAGCCCAAGAACATTGCATGCATTTTTATGCCATAGAGTTTGTGTACAAAAGCAAAAAAATTACAAAAATGTCACAGGAGTGGCTTGCACGATGAACGGTGTCAGAGAGAGAGATAAGGTTTCTCTGTTGGCGAACATACATTGTATGTCTGTAGACAGGAGTTCTCCTTGGAGTTTTAAGGTGTTTAATAAATGGCCAACATCTGAAGTCTTATTTGCAATCTAGAGTTTACCTTAATGAATAAAATCTACTGGTAATGAGGGAGAAAAACACAACTGTTAAATATACTTTAATAATATCTACGATACCCAACAACGACATGCTAAATATGCAATAACACAGAAAGGTTAAAATAATACATTGGTTATAATTTAATGCCACAAAATTAAAATAACATGTTAAATGACTTTAACACAGTATTTAAAAAAATATATTTAGTCATCTTTAAAATGCTCAAAGGAAGAATAAGATAAACATGCTATTAATAAATCTCAAAACAATAGTTTCAGTCCTTTTTTTGATTTACAGACTGAAGAATTTAGAGTAAAAGATGTTAATGCAATATATGAATTGGGCTTGGGCAAAGTGTTTAACCCAAAAATGGGGAATTAACACATTAAAACAATATAAGGATAAATGTCCAGATGAAAGTTGTATAATCCACAGTCTTCATTTCTAGAATAGCGCATTTTCAGCATTTGTGTGTTCTCTGTGTAAACAGTTTCCTCTCTAGAAAAATGGCTATTGAAACTCTGCTGTGTGCTGTCTTAATGTCACACTGTTCATTTGCAGTGAGAGTACAGAAAGTAA